TAACGTTTTAGAATCTCTGTAAAAGGAGAGTAAACTTTATTCATACCCATCGCTAAAAGGCTCTTCAGTTAGTTCTGTGAGCAGCATTCTGCTTTGCCAAGCAAGCCAAAAAGACGTATTTGGGTCAACATGCTATTCGAATAATGGCAGAGTATCGTCCTAATTATTAGCAAAGAGAATTACGGCTTCGCCTAGAATGTAGACTGTTCAGTCCCCTATTCTTCCGTAAGACCGTCGAGATCGAAAACTTTGCGTTACGGGCGACCATCTTGCATAAGTGTCAAAACTACTTAGGGGGCGGGGAACGGTTTGGGAGGGGGCGAGAATTTTTTTTTTTTGTCTCACCTCCCTCCCCCTAGAGCTATAATCCCCGACACCCGCCCCCTCGGTACGTTTGAAAATCAAGATGGCGGCCATTAACGGTAAGACGCGCTGTATCTCGACGATCTCACTGAAAAACAGGGGACTGTGAACAGTCTGCCTAGAATGACATGAATGAGACTAAACTTTCAGAAATGCAAAATAGCAGGGACTGGTTTTTCTTTTATACTATATGTTATAATCTTCTGAAAAAACAAAAACAAACAAACAAAATAAAACAGTCCTCTTACATTGTCCCTTTAAATATATGAATCTAGTGCTGTAATTTCCGAACATCTCAAGAGCGCGAGAGCCTTTTATTGGCGTCAAAACAAAGTGTGTAAAAACTGATTGATTCGTTAGGATTCGACTGAGATCAATTCCGGAGTGTCCAGAGTAATTCAAGTGATGGAAGATTATGATCTGACCAAAGAAGACTGGGATTCCATTATAGAGGTTGGCCAGTTTGAAGGCCAAAGAGATCCTGTAGCGTCAATCCCGTCTAAGGTGCGTATCTTTTTTTATTCTAAACTTCGTTCAAGATTTTGATAATGTGAAAGGATTGTAGGGCGCCAATCGGCGACAAAATCAGTTGAAGGACTTATATGCCCTAAAGGGCCATCTAGACTAACCACTTCGAAAAAAAAATGTAAGATTTCCCTCCCCACCTCCTCTAAGCGATGTTGTGCCGCTGTTCAAGCTACACGTAGGAAGTGACATTCCACTCAGCTTGAAATGGGGGCGGGGGAATGGAGGGAGGATGCGGTTTGTTTGTTTATTTCTTTCTTTTTGTTTCTTTTTCTGCGAAGTAAACACCATTCGTAATTGTCGCAAAAATTTTGTCGCCGACTGTTTATTCAAAGGCTTTTCGTAACTTGCACTGAAGGAGAGCGACATCATCACCCCTTCACTCCTAACCATGGCCAAAAAAATTGACTTGATCAAGGAAACCCAGCTAGTGTATATAAAGAAGGTTCATGGATCGCGTAGTCGCTTTTTCCTTATCGAAAATTTTACTGTGTTGGGTCAGTTATATTGGGTTCCGTTATGTTCACCGTTAGCTATTTAACGTTTCTGTGTAGGTAAAAGCGGCGTTTACACGCTCATACAACAAGGAAAAACATAAAACGCCGTACGCCATCCGCGCGGCGCCAAAGAAGGGAAGAAAGGGCGGCGCAGGGGAGGATGACCAAGGAATGGACGAAGAAGGCCTTGAACAAGAAGGCGAGGAAAATAGTCAAGAGAAGGATGATATTGAGAACGATGCAATGATCAAGGCTACTAAGAAACCAACCAAAGGAGGGAGCGCAAGAGGAAGAGGAGGGAAGGGAAACAAAGATGCTGCCAAAGAAACGACGAAGGGCAAAGGAAAGGGAAGAGGAAAGAACCGAAATTAATCAAAAAAAGTGCAGAAGAGAATGAAAGAGGGAAATTGTATCGAGAGAATGGAAATTTTTGGTCAATAACAATAGAGAATACGGAGTTTCTTAAGAAAAAATACAACAGAACTGAATGTACTGTAGAGTGAATTGAATAAGATAATTGCAAGACTTAACAGGAGAATGGTACTTACAAATCGCCTCCGGTCCTGCTGCCACCCCCAAAAAAACCTCTTTTTTATACATGAGACCATAGGTTATCGTGACTGTGACATTTCACATAGTCTCCGAAAGAGATCGCGTGAGTCCAGAGGACTTTGGTTTAGGACGTATGAGTAACGGTAACACAGACTGCGTGGCTACCTTTTTCTTATTGAAAGTGAACAGGGGCGGATCCAGGATTTTTTTTAGGAGGGGGTGTACTCGTATCTTGCTCTACTTCAACACCAATAAACCACATAGTTTTTTTTGCAGAATACCAGTTGTATTAGAAAACCGCAGGTCATCTCAGGGAGGGGGGGGGGGGGGGCGC